TATCCCGGGCCCCAGGGATGTCAAACTGGCCGCCACTAGGGCCAGGGCTTTTTTGGTGGCAGCTCCTACCTGGTGGAATGAGCTTCCGGGAGAGATCCGGGCCCTGCGGGATCTTATGCAGTTCCGCAGGGCCTGCAAGACGGAGCTCTTCCACCAGGCTTTTGAGTAGGAGCCGCTGCCCGCACTATATCACCATCGCTGTGGATTGGAAGAGGCCCTGAGAAAAACACCTGAACCTGAACATGAATGGAGCCTTAAACCGTCTACCAGGAACTTCGGGCATACGTTCCGTCATCTTTGGACTCTGAAGACATTGAGCACTTTGTTTAAATTAGGATTTTTAAATATGTATTGTATGTTTTTAAATTATATGTATATTGTGTTTTGTCATGGCAAGGTTTCGCCTTGCCCTTGTAAGCCGCCCTGAGCCCACAGGGAGGGTGGGGTATAAATACGAAAAATAAATAAATAAATAAATCTTCGTTGTTGCAAAGCAAACACAAAGAAACATCTTAACAAAAGGACTGGCTCGGCTGCCCACCTGGGAGAACTGGTTCCGGCAGCCTCAATACAAAGAGGACAATCAGTGTTAAATGATGACTCAACATCCATCCAGGTGTCTCTGTTACCAGCTTAATTAACATTCAATATTGCCCCACCTAAACCCCTTTCCTCCATGGCATACATGACTCCCTGGAACGGACCACAGAGGGGCTGTCCCAGGGGAGGGGTACAGCAAGACCTCCCCCCCATGTCACCTCAAGGGTGGGGACCTGCTAAGCCGACCTCCTAAGATCGCCTAATAAAAGGTGACTCTCTCTCCCCCCCCCAACGACCTCTATACTCTCTGCCTCTTGAACTTGTGGCCATCTCGCCACCCACCCTGCCTCAAGGCTCTGGAACTTCAGTCAGAGTCCCCATGTGCTCTCTGCTGGCTCAGTCTGCACACTCCCTTTTCCTAGTATAATCCCCATTTTTCCAGAATTCCCCTATTTTTCCATTTGGAAGACTTCATCTCTTCAGGACCAGGTAAACGTATCACCCAACCAACGAACCTCCTGCTAATGCGAATGTGCTATCCCAATCTCTCTAAGTTTCTTAGCTCTGTATAATAGTGTGTGTGTTTGTGTATTGTTTGAATTTGAAGTTTCTCCAGTAAAAGACATTGATTTAAATTAATATCAGCCTTCTTGTCTGTTACTGGTACTCTGGAGAGGCGGGACCTCTGTATATAAAGGTGATCGCTCCCTTATGCCAATTGCTACTTATAAATAGCTCATATTCCCCCAGTATTAATAAGAAATCAGAGCAATTTGGCTAACACTGGGCTGCGGGTCATTTTATCTGGAAATTCTGGGTGGTTGTTTTCTGACATTTGCCAGAAGTATGAGGTGCCCCCAGACTATTGCGATATGAGTTGGCCTGCTAAGCCTGTTTTCCCCCCCAAGCGTAGCCATACAGTGCCCCTGATCTGCAAAAAGCTTGTCCACTCTGGATACTGAATGTCTTGTTTATAGTGAAGCAAGTAACATATCTGTTAGAGTAGCTTTGTTCTTTTCATATAATAAATTGTTGGTTGCTAGTAATTACTAATTTGTTCTGATGGATCGAGGCACCTTTTTTTGACATGCTCTTCCCCACCATTTAAACTCTAGTACTGTATGCTAGAGATGGGGGACAGAGCACAGTCAAAGAAGTAAACATTATTTTGAAAGAAATAACAAAGCAAAATGTTCATGAAAAGATTTCTGCAGGATGGAGGGAAGGTCTTTCCTTGTGTCTGCCACTTAATAAAGAGGGGGATCAGCATGGAAAGGTAAAGTTGGAGCGTGTTGCATGGTGTCCTCTAAATCATTGAAAATAAAGAAACAATATTTTTCCGAAGGTTGCAAAGTAAGCATGGAAGTGGAGAAAAGTTGCAGTACTTACCTTTTAAGGTAATATAGGCACTATTCGACTAGGTGAAACTTGTGCAACCATATTCTCATTCTGTTCTGACAACAGACATACCTTTCTCTTCTTTTCGCACTCATACTGAGGGCTGAACTATACAATAAATTTATTTATAAGTTATCTCCAGCTTCACTGCTTTGATCAGAGTCTCACATCAGCTTTAAGAATGTTGCTTTGGAAGCCTCAGAAGCGGGTTTTGCTCACAGCAGCTGGTATGGGTGGAGGAGGGCCCCCCGGCTTCCCCACAGCCTTTTCTCCTGAGCTTAAAGAACCCCCTGGCCTGGATGGCCCAGGCTACCTTGAACTTGTCAGGTCTTGGAAGCTAAGCCGGTTCGCCAGGTTAGTACTTGGATAGGAGACCACCAAGGAAGTCCAGGGTCACTGAGCTGAGGCAGGCAATGGCAAACCACCTCTGAATGTCTCTTGCAGTGAAAAACATACAAAAGTGCCCTAAGACAGCACTTTCCCCCCACCAAAGAACCCCCAGTGGGAAGTTATTTTGCGTAACAGTGGAGCTGCTCATGTTTGGACTATTCCACTGCCTCCTCCACCCCATGCTGCCCTTCCTCAGTATCAACCTTCTGAGGCTTATAAAGTGGCATTCGGGAGCTGGCATGTGACATCTGGAAGGACCCCGACCTGGATGGCCTATGCCCATGGTGGCCCAGTCTCACCACCAAGAAATGCGAGAGACAACCTGTAAACAAAGGCAGCCCTGAGAGAAGAAGCAGGATGGTGACCTGAGGTCACTTTGTGGAGAAGATTCTTTCTTAGCAAAGGCAAAGGGCACCTGTGATATCACACAACTTCCGTCAAAGGCTTCTTTGACAGTGGGTCCCCATGCTACCGGGGGGAGGGCAGTTAAATTTGGTTTCCCAGCCTGGAAAGTTTGGAGACCACTAAGTAAAGGATTACCTGTTGATTCCTAGTAAGTCTGGTAATCCCTAGTGTAGTCGTAGTTATTATAGGAATGCCTGCTAATTTGCTTTTCTTTCTTCTGATAGGTGTGACTGACTTTTCTCTCTTCTCTTTTCAAGACAATTGACTTTTTAAATGAAAACATTGGAAAAGGAATTGAGAATTACTATGATGACTTGGACTTCAAAAACATAATGGATTATGTTCAAAAGCAGGTTGGTTTTTTTGCATGTCCAGTTTAAAAAAGGCATAGTTAGACATTCATGAATTTTCTGTACTGTAACTGGTCTCTCTTCCTACCACTGCGTGTGTGTGTGGGCTGCACGGTTTGAATAGGTGCACTGGATTCTTTTAGTGGAATAACAGAATTGTAGGGTTGGACGGGTGCTGACCTGAATAGCCCAGGCTAGCCTGATCTCATCAGATCTTGGAAGCTCAGCAGGGTCAGGCCTGGTTAAGTATTTGGATGGGAGACTTACAAGGAATACCAGTTTCCCTGCAGAGGCTGGTAATGGCAAATCCATTCTGAATGTCTCTTGCCTTGAAAACTCAAGGGGTCGCCAGAAGCTGGCTGCAACTTGATCGCAAATAAAATGTTGAAAGGTACCTTGAGGTAATTCACGTAATGTATTGACAAGATTCTTCCCACCCAAACACCCCAATAATTTAGCACAGTTATTATGTATAATCATATATGAGCCTTAACCCTTGTTTCTCCTGTCCCCTAGCATTTTCATATATAGCCCACAAAAGATAAAACAGGAAATGTCTGATTTCATTTTTTCCTAAAATGAATGAAATTTCTAGTTTTTATAGTTGTAAGAACTTTGAAAATTGAATTTGTCTGTTAATGTTGGTGGGTAGAACCATTATAACTTGGAATTTTAAGCCTCCTACTTCCCAACCTCTTTTATAGGTTTTTGCAGCTAAATTGCAGCCCCAGGCACTCTTATTTGTGCAGAAACCCCATGGAACACAGTGGTTTTTTAAATCTGAGTAAATTTGTGGAATTAGAGTTTGTGCTGTTCCACACTGCCATACCTTTCTCTGCTGTCCTTCCGACCCTGACAGAAATGGTTAGTTCTCATATCCAGGCCAGTGGAGGATTTCAAAGGACACGTGATGTTGTTAGCTGAATTGCTTTATCTACAGCAATTGGCAAATTTAAATCTGGGTGCTTGCCAACTATACCAAGGTCCTGTTCCCACCACGGGTTACCAGAGAAGGAGTTCAAGGCTGGTGTGGTTAAAATAAATGTCTTTTACTTAAGAAAATATATCACATACAAACATCACACATTCAATCAAGTTCCTTAGAAATACAGTAGAAAAATAAGCACTTTTGCATTAGCAGGTAGGGTTGATGATGGGTGATACTTATCTGTCTTCACAGCTTGGTTGTTCCAATGAAGAATGTATGGGGAGAAATAGAAATCTAAGGGAGTTTAACACACGTCAGAAGCAGCCAGCATGTCTGGGCAGTAGAGGCAAGGGTTTGGGTATAGCAAGCTGGACCTAAGAGAAGTTATAGCAAGCTGGACTAAAGAGAAGTTAAAGCAGACAGGGGTTGTTGCAGGGGAGATGCTAGTTGATCAAGTAAGAAAGAGAGAGAGAGACCATGTGACTGGTTCTCTTCTTTTATCGGAGATCCAGGAGATGGGTGTTGACGGTGCCAACCTCCTGGCCCACCTTCCTGTTAGTCCGTCCCAAAAACAATCCTATTGGTTACCTATAGGAGTGGGAGGTTACCTAAAGGAGTGGTCAATATTGAAATCTAAACCTTACTCAAAGAGGGCCATCTGGTCAGGTGTGAAAACCTTGACGTCAGGATATCTCCTTGAAGTGTAGATGAAGCTTGGCCATTCTCTTTGTGAAACAAATGTCCATTTGGCAGGAAATACCAATGTAGAACAAAGCAGAGATGTGTCTTATGTGATCACTACAAGAATTGCAATGGGGGCTGTTTCCTCTCAAGTTGTTGTTTTCTTACTGCTCACAATAATAATGGAGGTGTGTGTGTGCTCTTCCACCAGGCTGGTGCTGTGTAGCTGAAACCTCATTCACGTGTAAGGCTTATGCAGGCACCTTCTATGTGTAGTATCACAACAGGTGACTTGTACAGCTTTCTTTGAGCCTATGGGTGTGTGTGCACAGTCCATTGTGTGTGTAGCAATAAACATCTCCCTTATAAATAAAATGGCAGACAGTTTTTTTAAAAAAGAAAAGAAACATGCACAGTGGGGGGAGGGTGCTTTAAACGTTTACCAGTTCATAACTTTCCCAGTCTTCCATTTGTAGTATGTATACACAAGGATTCAGAGTTGTTCTTGTGAGTTTTGGTTTATCCCTTGTTTGAATTTATGTCAAGTAGATGTTTAGTTAATTGGATTAATGATTGATTAGGACCGTTTAGTTTCTCGGATCAAGTCCTTTTCTTCTGGCTATTAAATTAATGTTAACTTACATTAAGTGCAGTCTGTTGCTCGTTTATTCCAGAGTGGTTTTGATTAAAATCTCTGAGACAACTGTGTAGTGAGTAGTCACAGCTGAGGAAACTTAAATGAAGCGAACAGACATAATACAAGTATGCTTTTTATTGCTAAATGATGTAAATGTCTAATTAAAATCCTGACATATTTTGAGGTTGAGCTTCAAGAATGTGGGTCTTGGCTATCCTCAAATCTTGACTTTAATTCTTTCCCCTGCAGAAGATGACACTCACTAAACACACCGGGATTTTAACAGGATGTTTCTGCAGGAGACTTCATGAGATTTTAACGAAATTATACTTGAATGATTTGGGGGGGGGGATCTTTAGAGTGATTGGTGGGGTTCTTTCCGTTGCAAATCAGTTAGCTCTTCAATTTAGTTTTTCCTTCTTGGCAATTATACTGGACATCCTCTCTCACATGAAAACACCATTTACCTTACATAACAGTCCAGGGAGCTGATGAAGACTGGAATGGCTTTGGCAGTCGGATTATGGCTCATTGAATGGCCAAGTTTTGGTTACAGGCCTATCGCATTCTGGCTGAATCTATTTCATAGATTCATCCACATGAAAGGATAAAATCTGCTGATTCCATTGCCAGTTATAAATTATCCAGCTGGCCATGTTCAAGAACACTCACATGCTTCTATATCTTTATTCAAGTCCAGTAGCACTTTAGAGACCAACAAGATTTTTGGGGTATAAGATTTTGAGAGCCAAAGCTTCCAATCTGTTGGTCTCTAAGGTGCTGCTGGATTTGAATCTAGCTGTTCTACTGCTTACCCTCTGAAACATGCTTCTAACCTGTTTGTGGAAGCAGGTGAACACTACTACATAAATGCACACTCTCTTTTTGTGTTCAGACATAGACAGCAGCTTATGTACATGCATACCTTCACATCTTTAACTTTCTCCTCCACGGTTGGTTGCTTTGTTTGACATGGTTGCTTGGTTTGACAGTGGTGTCCAGTAGCAGTATGATGGGATTCACCACCTCTGATGTACATCTTTGTTCTTCTACAAGGTGTACACAGTTTCCAATTTTCTGTATCAATAGATTCATGAAGCACCTAGATTTTAATTTTGTTTATTTACTAAGTGAAGATATTTTTGTTCTTCAGAGAATTTTATGGATTTGTTTATTTTTCTTTACTGGGATTTTTTATGTGGTACTGTCTGCTCCGATGGTTGATTGTTTTGTATCTATTATTTGTTTTTAACTCTGATTTTTTTTCAAAAAATTGTAACCCACTTTGATAATCCGAACTTTTATTTTCTTTCCAATATTAAGACTTTAAAATTAATAATTTGTGAGATTCCATACTAATGATCAGAATGCTTTTTTATTGTTTAACTTTTTCCCTCTTTAAAGTTTAAATGCTGTGGTGGAAAAGAGTACACAGATTGGGCCCAGAATCAGTACCATGACTGCGCCGCGCCAGGACCATTAGCCTGTGGAGTCCCTTATACCTGTTGTGTCACAAATAAGGTAAAGATAGTCAATTTGGTGACTTCTCATTTGTTCCTCACATGTCACGACATTAATTAAGAATGTTGGTTTGGCAAACTGAAGTAGTCTTTAGCAAGGATGATCTGTGCATGGAAACAGAGTTCTTCACATTGATTGCCTTGCTGCATGTGAGCTGTGCACACACAGATTGTGAGAAACAGCCAGGAAACCGATGCTTATTTATTGTTAACCCCCCCCCCTCCCCATATCCTTGAAGGAATGGAGAAATAAACTAAATGAATATGGGATAATGGCAGAACTAACATCTTTCATACATAACAGACTGACTTCAGAATTTCAAGAAAAATGGAACTTTTTTTAATAATATAGCTGAAATTCAAGAATAAAATCAAATTCAATAGCAGATGATAGATTTAGATAATATATGTTTCATAATAAAAATGTTACCAGATATGAAGATAGATAAGATAGAATAAAATTATTTAAATAGAAGTGAATTATTAAAAAGTTGATCTAAGTAAGTTCTATATAGATGTATGATTTTGAATACAAGTGGTTATAGTTTATGTTTAATGGCTGTATGGGTGTAAATAAAAATGGAAATTGAAATTAACCCCCCCCCCCGATCATACAGAAAAGTCTTTGGACCATGTATAAATATTTTTATAATACAAATACTATTCAAAATCTTTCTGTCACCTAATTTATTTGGTTTGTGTGTTCCATTTCCTATAATATTTAAGCAGTGTTTTTTTCCCAACTGTGGAAATTTTTATGAGGAACAAATTAATTTGAATATAATTTAAATTTCTTCTAACCCATTTTGCAAATAAGCAATGTAACATTGGCTTTCCAAAAAACACACATCTAGTCATAAATTCCTATTGATTCTATAGGGTAAATGATACACCAGCATGTGGGATTAATGAAAAATAATCCAAATTCCACTGAGATTTTGTGAATGAAGAGATGATTTTATTTCTTTGTCATGATTATAAACTCTGAGGAAACTTTGCAAGCCCTTAATTATCAAAGAGGACCAATAAGGTTCTAAAAATGGTGTTTGACTTTTCTAAGTTATAAAAGAGCAAAATTTATACACACACATTCTTTAAATAACAGTCCTTGAAATCTTGCAGTACTGTCTCATTACAGTAATTTGTCTAGAGGATGCCTGCACTAGCACTCTTTGAAACTGAATTGAGCTGAATAAATCATTGCTGTTTTGACCAGTGTTGCCAAAAGCAGCTTGGAAAAGTAGAAATGTGAACTGCAATTAGTCATTGACTGTGGTCATGGAAAAAATAGGTAATGTATGATGTCCATTTCTTTACTTTTGAGAAAGTTTCATGAAATACATCAGAACCAGATACTGGTCTCTGCTCTTTCAGAGTAAATCTGCAGGAACTTCGTCAATCGCTTCTTAACCCATTTTGTCCAAGGGTAGCCGGAAATGCTTTGATCATCCAGCATATATTGCCAGCCCAAGCAACTTTATAGCGTCCCCCAGTTGTTGTATTTGTTGGTTAGGAGGAACAAATGTCAACAATGACGCAATGCATCATCTCTCAGCAAAATCAGATAAATGAGACATTGCAAATGATGAAACAGAATACTGAGAAGGTGAATAAAGTGGATGCAATGACCCAAAAGGTGAAGAAAAAAGTGCAAAAGCTGGAAAGGAAACAAATCTCCACGGAAGAACCGCTGCTGCAACTACAAATGGAAAAAGCTAATATGATCCTTCGCTTTCAGGGCATGCCAGAGAATAAGGGAGAGAATCTAAAAGAAGTGATGAGTGAATTACTAGCCCCAGTGACAGAGATGAAGGCGGAATCACTGCTAAGCGACATGGATGTGGTCTATAGATCATATTCAGGCTACATAAAGAAAAATAATCTGCCTGGGGAAATTGTCGTAAGATTCTCGAAGAGGCATGTGAGGGACGCAATCCTGAAAGCAGTTTCTGGAATATCCCTGAAAGTGGGAGAGAATGCCATCAGAGTCTTAAAAGACATTCCATTTGAAATAAGAACGGAGAAAGAAATACAAAGACCTTGTGCTTTTTCTTCAGACAAATTCAATTGGATATAAATGGCTAATTCCAGAAGGCGTCACCTTCAAAATCAAGGATAAAGAAGAAAACATTGACTCTGTTCTGAAAGTGCGGGAATTTCTAAGGGTCCAGTTGGGAAGGCCAGAGGATGGAAAAAAAGAAGAGGACAGTAAGTCTAGTGGTGAGCTGGACTCGGGTTCTTCCGGAGAGGACTCTCTTGCAGTGCAAGGGGCAGCAGCTCCAAAAAGTCCTAACAAGCTGCGGAAGAGACGAGGAAAGGAGAAGTGAAGGCTGAAGGACTCTGATTTGTGCCTTTGAGAACTTTAAAATGGGATGGTTGGGGGTACTGTTCTTAGACAGTTAAGTTTTAAGATTTAAAGAAAAGGGTAAAAAATATTATAAACGTTTGACTCAGGTTATAATGACATAAAAGAAGGGAATACGTGATGTAATTAAGCTATTGATGATCTCCTCTCTTGGGTTTTTAGTTAGTAGTGGGTTCCTTAACTTTATCCTATATATGTAGCTCCCCTCCCCTTTTTTCTGTATTAGTTTTGTCGTTTCATTAAAAAATAATAAAAAATCCCCTCCAGGGGCTAAAAAAGAAAAAAAAGGAGGGGATGCCCGGACAGAGTCGGGTCAAAATGTCTTGGAACAGATTATCATAGTTTTGGTGGAGCTCCTCCTCAACTGCTTTTTTTGGGGGGTGGGGGGGAGTGACCTGAACTTGTCCAGTTGCTTCCTCCCATACCGTAACAGATTAGAGAAGACTGATGGTCAGAATTTATTTTTAATTAGTTTTCAAAAAATGTTAGAAGTAAAGCATATATAAAGTAAAATATTTCTATTGATGTTACTATGAAGATCATACTTGATATTTTAGTAAGAGATAACGAAGGTCCGTTTCCCAGCAGCAGGGACCTAGCGGGACAGCCACTCGGCTTCTGCATGCCATTTGTGAGTTTGTCCAGCTCCAGAACATCTCATATTTTATTTAGCCACTCCATACTTGATAGGATTGTCAACAGTTTCTAGTGCTTTGTATATAGTATTTTGGCCGGAGTTCATTCATTTCCTACGAGCAATTTAATAAACATAGAAAAAGTCTGTTGCACCAGGCTTAATACTGCTGATTAATAGACTTGAGATCCAGAGCTTCAAATGTCCTTGACCAACAGGATGGTGCATAATCTCATTACAACTAAACAGACACTTTTTTAAAACGGTGTCATCAGGGAAAGTCCCTCCCACGACTCCAGTGCCACATCGCCACTTGTTTTTTAGTGGCAGGTTGTTTAAGAAAACAACTGCATCATCAGTCTGGCACTGAATTTACTGTGATCAGACCCTCCTAGTGTTTCAGTTCTTAGTTAAAAAGCTATGCTTGAATCCTCTTGGAGGAGGAGGTGTTGGGAATGGTGTTGGGAATGACTTTAGGACCATTGTTCTTGTGATGGGCTATCTCTAGAGTGTCACTACCCAGCCACAATAGCGAAGTCCATACTTTGTGCCATTTTGGAAGAACTTTGCCCCCTCTTTGCACCCCCATCCCCTCAAGCAGAAATTAAATGCTGGGAAAGTGAAAAAACTATATCTGTGGCCAAGTTCAGACTGGCAGTTTGCCCTGATATAGGTTCGTGTGAGGAACGTTTCACAAGCGGATTAAAGTGGCCTTTCACACAGGCACATCTGTCCGGCATTCCCCACCCGTACTCAACCCGCCTTGTAGCGCTTGCCTCCCGGGTTTAAAAGATATCTGGTGAAAGTGGTAGCAAACCCTGGAGAGCCCGTTTATCCGACTTCATTCCGCTTCCCGGAAGTGTGAACGCTAACTGCTAAAAACCGGGAACAGCCCGCGTTAATAATGTGCGCCGGATGTTTACGCTGACTGACCTCCTAGCCTCACTCTGGCACCAGGAAGGTGCAGGTGATTGCCTTGAAGAGGGGGTAGTGATGTGGCTGGATGTGCCTATGGCCCACAGCGGCTGGATCCTGTCCTATTTGCCACGGTGCATAGGCGTCTGCCGTGAGGAAAACGCTGCTTACAGCCGCACCTCCGAGCTAACAGTGTGAACGCTCCCTTGCGCCTCCTCCCGGTATGCTCCCGCATCAGTCCGCGCAGTGTGACCGGGAAAATCTGGAACAGTTTGTTCGGGCTCTTTTTTGCAACGACTCCCTCCCGCTTCAAACTGCCAGTCTGAACTCGGCCTGTATATTGTCTGTGTGTGTTTTCCCCCCTCCCGCTGTTCAGTCAGGGAAATTACGTGGAAGGAGGAGTCAACCCCTGCCTTTCCTCAGTGCTACATTCCATATTTCTCCTCTCCCTTCTGCTTTTGGGCAAATAAATCACATGTTTAAGAACCGGATTGCAGGTCCACAGTATTATTATGTACTTTGGTCCTTGACCATGAAGTTTAAAAAGACAGAGCCTAGCAGGGCCATTATGATATCATTCATTGTCGTGAGCCTTGAGGCCACCTTGCCAGCTTTGTATGCAGTTTGCATTTACTTATTTATATCCCACTTTTCTCCCCAGTTGGGACTCAGATTGGTTTTAGAACATTGTTCTCCCATCCTCCGTTCTCTCACAATAACGGCCCTATTAGGTAAGCTGGGCTGAGAGTTTGTGATGGGCCCAAGGTCACCTGGCAAGCTTCCATGGTAGAAGTGGGGATTCGAAACCGGGCTGCCCTGGGTTCTAGTCTGCCACTCTGTCCACTACAACACACTGGCTCTCACACTGTGAAATTATTACATTCTATATCAGTATCTGTTGAGATTTCTGCGGGCATCTTCCCTTTGACAGATGTCCTTAATTTTGCTCGTGTTGCAGGTAGCCAGTGCATTTCTGTACTGCATTTTTGAATAATAGCAAAGGGCTCAATGCACTGGGAACTTCTCATCACACCCACCGTGAAGGCTGTGACTGTTTCATGCACTGTGCCAGTTAGAATGTTGGGCTAAGATTGGACCCGGTTCAGATCCCCACCCTGCCATGAAACCTGCTGGATGACTTTGGACCAAAATAAACCACATGCTCAACCCTGAGCTCCTTGGAGGACGGGCGGGATAAAACTCTGAGAGACAGATCCAGTGGTGGACAGGACTTTTTGTATAGTTAATTCCATGCAAGTTACATTTAGACAGTAATATGCCAATTGCACATGCATCTGTTTTGCTACACATACAATCACTTTGGTGGGTGCATTTTATTTATGCACATAAAATTTCTTGCAGGAAGTATAGGAACGTGTTGCCCATGTAGGACGTTTGTCGACTGAAAAGAATGGCAGTTGTGCAGGAGCACAGCTGTGTCCTTAAGCCAATTGCCAGTGCTGTTCAGTCCATCTGTAGCTACAGTATTTGTACAGAAGTGCTTGTTCAAGCTTCTGGCTCATCGTAAGGGAGGATCGTAATATATATTGGCAGCATTCATAGTAAGAGTTACGGCCGGAACCTCTCATAGACACCCCCTGTTGTTTCATCATGGTTATGATGAGCCATCTGCCCCACGTAAGGCTGCTGGCTTGACGCCTGTCCTAGCCCCGTCCTTCCCAGCAGAGGCTCCCACCCTGGGGAATGGGCTTCCTGAGGTGCCATCCTTAGAAGTTCTGGGAGCCTTTAAGCTTGTTTTATTTCCCAGTACTTTTCATGGGATTTGAGCAGCAGGGTTGTGGGGTTTTTTTTTTGGGAGGGGGGGAGTTGCCATAGTTGTACTAGTTACGTGTTTTTTTAGAGCTGTAAACTGCCTGGAGCCACGAAGGGAAGGCAGGGCATACACACTGTAATAAATACATTCCCCAGAGAAATTGTAATCTAGTGAAGGGTAAAACAATGTTATATGCCACTTTGGGTTTCCATCGGGAAGAAAAGCAGGGTACAAAATCTAACCCAATCAATAAGGGAATAAACACCTGTTTTACTAAGTACTGTGAAACAGCAAGCAGGATTGTAACGTGTGAACAACCACTGTGGCTGAGTGTGGAATCCCTCACTGGGAGATTCTAATAACAATTGTGGTTGGTGGTCGACTTACTTGTGTCAGCCAGCCTCACACGGATTTTTTTTTTTGGTTTGATGGTGGCAGGGAGTTAGCATTGATTTGTGCCCTTTCTGGTGTTCTCCATGGACACATGATCTTTTATGTTAATGAGAACACAAAGGGTCTTCCATATATAAGTGGAAAAGTTTGGTTATATGAGAGCATTAACATTTGGCACTTTTAATGCATATGGTGGCTTTAGTTCTCTGGTTTTATTTATTATTTCAGTTCATGTGTTATAAAAGGTAGATATGTATTTGAATGGTCATCTGCAAGCTGAAGCCAGGTTTCACAGACTTATTTTATTCTTTTCACTGTTCAGTTCTCTTAAATCAATATAAAGCTGTGCATTTTACATTGTGCTTGAATTTTGCAATGTTTATGTTTTTCCCCCCCAGACAGCAGTTGTCAATACCATGTGTGGATATAAAACTATCAATGAAGAGGTAGGGATTTCTGTATTTTTGTTTTTCTGAGATTGAGATACTGTCTGCTGCAGCTTCAAAATTGGAGTTTTTTTAAAGCATCCATACAATGATGTGCTCTAAAAGTGCAGTCCAAGTGCATTATCGCACCCTCTGGATGGGAGAGTGCACATTTTCAAAGGTCTTACCTAGATTGCTGCCATTTTCCTCCCATCACCGCCTCACAGCCACTGTTTCCCCTGCTTGCACCCCCAGAGGGCACTGTGACAGTTTGGATTTCTTTTTTGAAAATTAGTAATTGCTTATAGTACTATAACAATTACAGATTTTTTAAAAAGCCCTCCAGTGGCACAGTGGGGAGTCTTGCAGCTTACAGAGGACAGTGCACAGAAAACTGTGTCAAAGTCACATTGACAGTGTGAATGCCTCTGGATTAATATCTGCACCGAATGTTGAACACAGAATCCTCACCGTATGGATGCAGCCTAGCCGTCTCTCTGCACTCTTATTTTCATCACTTGTGTGCCCTTACTTCATGGCCCTTACTTTTCTTATCTGCATGTGTTTTGCTACCTCTAGTGGTTATATCATTATATCATTGCTGTATCTCTGGCTTATTTTCTTCCACTTTAACTTGCAGGGAAATAAGCCGAAGATACATCAATGATATATCAAAGCAACCACTAGAGGGAGTACGAGCACACAAGTGACAAAAATGAAGAGTGTGGAAGAGGCCTAAGTTCCCGTTCTTCTTTCTTCCTTTGCAATTTACACATGCAAAGAGCAGCACAGGAATGGTTGGTGAATAAGTGCTCCAACCTCTTGCTTTGGCACAGCAAGCTTCAGCCATGCAAACAGATCAGCCTTTAGGTAAGTGCCTGTTTCAGACTGCCCATTTCACCCAGACTGTCTGTTTCAAGCGTACCTCTTCAGACTGCTGACTGGAACCACTTTGTGTGAGTAGCTCTTGCAAAAGGACTCCAGCCTACCTTTCCAACAGCAGGCTTTTGTGGAAGAGTGTTGTAGTTCCTGTACAGTGTTGGGGTAAATTTAGTACTTTTTCAGTGAGTTACCAAATTAGTGAACAAAACAGACATGGGAGAAGGTCATAACTGGATAATCTTGTATGTGCCAGGCTGCATTCATTGCAAACTACATCACCTTGCATTCACCAGTCTCTTGCAATTTAGGAATTTGTTACTATGTAGGATTGTATTTTGTGATTCATTTGATAATATTAGCCTGAATACAGAGAAGAATTGCACACCATCTGTGTAGTCTCTTTGTGGTTTAAATTTGAGGTCAGGTGTATTCACACAGCGTAAATACAGCTTGTGTTAATTTCTAAAGCCAAGTTTGAAGTTTGTGCCCCAGGAAACCCCAGCTGTCCTGGCTCTATGAGAGGTACTAATGCTATATAACAAGAATAAAAATGATATAGAACCAATATTGAGTTCAGCCATTCATACAACCAAAAGCAGCAATAAAACAAGCTATTAAAAACTAGAGATGTGCATTCAGCTTTCCCAATCCAAAAAAAACCCCCAAAATAAATACCTTATCAGTATTTATCAGTATTTCTAAAGCCAAATGCAAATTCAGGAAACTTTTCAGCTACTGAATACAGTTTCCCTGAATTTATTCAGCTTTTTCGGATTTCGGGTAGGCGAATATTACTTCCCTCCTGCTGTGGCTTCCCTAGTCAATTTCGCTCCCCTGGGGGGGTCTGCTGTTAGGTTTAAATGGCTTAAACCTAACAGCTGACTGGTGGGGAGTGAAATTGACAAGGAAAGCTGAAGGGGCTTCCAGAGGGAAAGAAGGCATTTTTACATTCCTCCCTTCCCTCCTGGGTATATGAATTTGGCAATACTGAATATTTCCCCAGTCCTGATACTTTACCGGTATTGTTACTGGGGATATTCGGCATTTACCAATATTTTTCGGGTCTGATATACCCAAAGTTGAAAAATACCAACTTTTGTTTTTTTGCATACCCCTAATAGAAACCTGTCTGGTAGATTCAGAAAACATAGCCTGTGCCAGTTTGTGTAATTGGCAAGGCCTCAGCTGTTGGAACAAGAAGGTTTTTGCTGACCTTCTAAAAGCAGAAACTGAGCTGTGTTGATGGAGCTTCTGTAAGAAGGAAACTTCATAAGGAGGGTGCTGCTAGCAAAACAGCCCTGCTCCTTGTCATTCACTTGCTCTCTATTCCATCTTTGCCAGAGCTCAAGTCCTCCAGACTGGGAGAGGACTTTCTTTCTTTAAGAAATATGTTTTTCCAAATAAACTAACAAACATCTGGCAGTAAGCTGTCTGTAAAGTTCAGTGCAGTTGTCAGCATTTAAGATCAGGATCTTAAGTTGCCTCAATGAATTACAACTAATGAGTGGTGTTACTTTTTTGTGTTTGTTACTTCATAGCGACTCAGTGTTCAACACATTATATATGTTAGAGGATGCACCAATGCAGTACTCATTTGGTTCATGGACAACTATGCCATCATGGCTGGTATTCTGCTTGGCGTATTGTTTCCACAGGTAAGGAACATTCAAATGTAAACATTATTGATATACACTTTTTGTAAAAGAGAGTATTTTTAGGATATTCTTTTCTCTTTTTTCCGGTGGGATGGCACTGGGTCAGTATTTGCCTGTTAGATTTTTTTTAAAACCTGCCACAGAAGCATAGAAACAGAGAGCTGGAAGGGATCTCAAGGGTCATCTTGTCCAGCTCTTGCACAGTGAAAGAAATTCACAGCCATTTCTCCAGTGACCTCTGCTCTATGCCCAAAGAAGCATTAGGGTTTGCAGAGAATCAGCTTCTTGAGAGGTTTGTGTGCCTGTTGTGGTCTAGCTAACCCCCGTTACGGGCAATCTGTTTCTATAATAATCCCAACAACTTGCTTACTGGGGTGTACACATGTAGACATCCATCTCTTGGTCTGTGTAGTAATCTGTCTCCAGCAAATAATATTGCTCATTTTTATCTCAAAGGCTGCGGTTACACACACTAATCCACTTTCAGTGCACTTTCCAACTGGACTTTGCCAGTTCACATAGTAAAATCCAGTTGGAAAGTGCACTGAAAGTGGATTGAGAGGTGTAACCGCAGCCTTTGAGATAAAAATGAGCAATATTATTTGCTGGAGACAGATTACTACACAGACCAAGAGATGGATGTCTACATGTGTACACCCCAGTAAGCAAGTTGTTGGGATTATTATGGATTGTTTCGTGTGTGTGACCTCAGCCAAAATGTGGAACTTCAGCCTCAAAGGAGGAATTGGTCTGGTGGCCAATAGGTACATTACATTTTGCATTTGAACATAGACACCAGAATTTTAAAATCTATGTGCCTTTCCTAAAGTGTCGAAGAGGGTGCATGTGAATTGAGAGGGGCCCACTTCTTTCATAGCTGGCAGCATTAGGGAGGTGCTGTGGCAGAGTGGAAGTGGTTCTGCTTGGCATGCAGAAGGTCCCAGGTTCAATCCACAGCCTCTCCAGTTAAAGAAGCCCAGGCAGTAGGTGATGGGAAAGACCTCTGCCTCAGACCCTGGAGGGCCACTGCCATTCTCAGTACTGACTTTGATGGACCAAAGGTCTGATTCAGTATAAGGCAGCTTCATTTTAAAGACATGTGCCAGCTGTTATGTGGCCCCTCTGTGCTCACTGGACATCTGTACCTAAACAGAGAATGTAAACTGAGCATTGCCCCTCAGACCCAAATGATGTGAACCATAAAAAATTTTTAATTCACAAAATGTTCTACTTTCTAGTTATTACTTCCTCTTTATTTTACAGTTCCTTGGAGTGCTGCTTACTTTGCTTTACATCACCAGGGTAGAGGATATAATTACTGAGCACAAGCTTAACGAGTCGCTACTTGATGGAGGGCAACAGAAGACTGATGTTGAGTTAACTGGAACAGGGTGCTGTATGTGTTTCCCTGGGTAATGCTGAGCATCCCTCTGAGCAAGACAGAGAGATGACTAACAACCCCTTTGTTATTGTGCCTTGAATGCAGTCAGACTGTTAAACATATTGTGAATTGCGTAAAGAACAGTACTTAGGAATGAGGCTTCCATAATTTATTAATATTCAGTATTTCATCTCTGGAGTGTATTTTAGAGCATCAGGGGAGCTTATGTGGAAAGTATGACAGATTCCTTTTTATTGTAAAAAGTAAAACTAATCAAGGAGACGAATCTACAACCAGTAATGATTGTAGTAAAACTTACCTATGCACAAGGGCTGTCTAACTTACCTATGTAACGGTACTGCTAACATGGTGAAATCACCTTTATTTCTGGCCATTTTCAGAGCATGGTAATTTACCATCTTCATTCACAGGACTGTCACATTAGAATGCATTGTGATCATTCAAACTGGGCCCAGCTCTTCACCATTTGTTATCAAAGAATACTGACTGCTGTGCTTTATTGCTGGTTGGATTCTGATTTGTTTTCCCCAAGCCAGTTTATATCTGTCCCGCATGTTTGTTTGTTTTTAATGATTGCCAAGGCTATATCATTAGACACATTTTTTCAAAGCCGTTGTGGGGTGTTTTCCACATAGGGGGAAACTTGCTCCTGCAGCGGCCAGCATAGCACAGTGATAACAGGGGGCTTCTGCGTGGCAGACCTACTTCCCTGTGGATTCACTGCCTCCTTCCCCCTAGGCAGCAGCCACTTCCCCACCTGTGACAAGGGGCGTTTTCAGGGTGTTTTTTTTTAAATCAGCAATTGTATATCATTATGTTGTTATTAAAACTTTTTTTATGATGTATGTTTCAGGTTCTCTAAATTCTCAGCTTTTTTTTTTTTACAGTAAGCCTCTAGCTCCTATAGTTGCAAGGATATACTTTTCCCTTTATACCTCTGCAACGAAAGAGACTAGAGACTTGACTTTTTAGGAAAAAATCTAAGGTGGGAATTCAGAAAATCTGATACACAGATTGCTATACTGATATTCAGTTGTTGATTAAAAAAACCCCAGCTAAGTGGACATCTTTATGGAAAATGGATGCCGTTTGAGTAGGACCAGGGAAATCTGACTTTTCCCACTTGCATGGCAGCCATCCAGGCCTTGTTGCAATCTTTCTCTAAACTTTGCAGCAAAAAAAGTTTGGGAAAAATTGGAGAAAAGCTGGGGAAAGTTTGTGAAGTGTGCAGATGCATCAGAATGCTTTGTGAAAAAATGCTTCCCAGAAGCATCGAACCCTGGGGCAATTAACCCATGTAAAAAAGGTCTAGTAAGAATTATTTTGCAGAAATGTTCAAACGTAAACATGGTTGAATTTTGTGTACTGTATAATACTGTAACATTTTTGAAACTGTGCCTTCCTATGGATTCTAAAACAGTGAAGCATCTTTATATATTTTAAGGGGAGTGATTTCCTATATCTGTGCAATCTTGTTTTATGCTGCTTCTAATGGTTTACTGAAAACAATTTTGGAGGCCTTGATCTGGAGGCCTTGTGCCTTTCTAATGCAAGCTACTCTCTGACTCAAAAACAGCTAATGAATTCTTGCTTTTTTTTAAAAAAATGCATTTTGCCACTGGACAGAGTTTTGTATATTTTATTTAGTATTCCTGATGAATTTGAATCTTGTATTTTTTTTTCTTTTCCTGACAGACTGGAATTCTTGTTTATATCCCTGTGTTCACCGAGTACTTAATTTTTATATGGAAAATAAATTTTATGATTTTTTTAAAAAAAGAAAAGTAAATCTTTTTATTAATAACAAGCGTTTGAAGATGAATTTTAAAGAACCAGATGTACCAAAAGCAAGATCCTCCACCTCTGGCGCACTTTCCTCTTGCTCCTCTTAATTGTTTTAGATAAATGGCTGAGGCTGAAGGCTAAAGCGTCTTTTTAATACTATTGAGAGGCTACAGTTTGACCAAAGTATCTGACAGTGGCAAGCCCTGTCTTGAGGGAAAAGGCCACATTTGTGTTTTTTGATAAACAGCAAAAAGCCCACTGTGTTTGGTCTGTCTCTACATACTACCTTGTGGGGCTTTATTTCTCTCCTTACACTTCTCCCCAAGTGTCCTCAAGCACAAAAGTCTACTCCTTTAAATTTCATACCCCGCCTCTCCAGATATCTGCTCAATAACAGAAGAAGAAAATAGAGCAGTTGAATGACAGAATGTGTTAATGTCAAAATGAATTGGAGCCAGAAAAGACAAAGTATTGTTTTGAGAACGCTGCTTTACATCTGTGTTTTACAATGCAATCTGATGCACACCTGCCAGGCCAGCTCCCTGGTAAGCGGGCACTGGATTTCAGCTTAAATTTTATTTTGCAAAGGAACTGCACTGTGGTGGTGACATTCTACCCGACAGAGAACTCGGTTCCTGTATACAGGCTATCCATTCACTCCAGTGGTGGTGACAGTGACGTGTGTAGAGAGATGCATGTACACACCTTTCCTTACTTTTTTTAAAAAAGTAGGACCTAGAGAAGCTACACCTGAAATACCTGTCTCACTGGGAATAAAGTTCTGTTTCTCTTTTGAATTCTGATTTGGGAGCTGTGCCATGATCCTCGGACTCGAGGCCGAGACCATGTGTGTTTGAGACCTGCTATATTCTCCACACGATCACAGAGACTACAAAGGTTATGTCTGAGCCAACAGTGGTTGGGATGTCGGGGTAGAGGAGCCGGTGGCTGGGACTGACAGGGTGGCCACAAAGAGTCCTCCAGCTGATCCTCTTCCAAGTGAAGAGAAAGATTCTTTGGTACCAAAAAAGAGTTCAAGCATATGCTTGGTCTGAAAGAGTTTTTGAGGTACCAGATCTGCTGGAATTACAATGACATCTACATCAGATGTGGTTGGTGCCTCAGCTATGATCAACGAGGTGACCTCCAAGGTTGAAGTGGGTACTAAACAGGTGGTTGTTACTGAGGAAGCAAGAAGGGCACTTTTGGCCAGTTCCTTGTCTCTGAGGACTCAAAGGATTTTAGTCCCTTCTTTTTTTTCAGAAGAGATGGCTCGCCCTTGTCTCAAGACGAAGGGTGGAGGGTTTGGTCATCCACTCAAACGAGTAGAAATTATTATTCCATTGGAAGTTGAGGCAGACAGCAAAGACATAGCAAGCGTGACTGAAGTTGAAAGGGCCTTCTTCATCAGGAGAGTACAAGGACAAGATCCCCTTTTCTTTCTTACCTGTTTTGTGAATTTCATACAGGAATCTGTCTTATGGAATTGGCCCCAGCATACCAGACAGCAGTTGTGGCCATCTGTCAATGCGTCCCCCCTATTTACACTGCCTGTAAATGAATGAATGAAATAAATGAGGAGGGGGAAAAGCTGTGAAGAGACACAGAACTGAATGTCTCTCCTTTCACACACAGAATTTAACTCAGAACTCTTATATCACACAAGACCGCTTTCACTCTTTTCATACACAGAACCAACTTATCCCACACAGGTATGTGTCTCTCTCTCAGACTTCCAAACTTAACTACCTCTCTAACTGTCTTTATCAACTGTCTAAACTGTAACTCTTGACTGACACACATTTTCTCAAACCCCTCCCCCTTTCTGTCACTCACCAATCACACCACTTGCCTGTTTCAACCACTCTATATTATTTCTCACCACCATGCAACCAAACTTTTAAAGACACACACACACAGTTAAACATGAAATCATTACAGGGAGAAATCCAATTACATCACAAAGGGGCTCCCTAATAGGCCATTCAGCTTGGAGAGTGTGTGTTGGGAGGGTGAAGAGGCGTGGAACTGCTCTCCATAGCAAAGTCTAGGAGGGGTCTCTTGGGCTATAGTGTAGGATAGATACAATGTGGGCAGCACTCCAGTAGAAGGGAAGTCAACCTATAGCAGGGACCACTTGCTGTAGCAACAACACTGCCTTGAAGCCAGACTAAGGGATGCAGTGAGCATGTTTGACAGTCAAACTTCCTGTGCTTGACTGTGACAATCAGACATCAGCTAATCATCTAGTCTGTTCAGTTTGTGCTGAATGACTTGGAACACCTGCCAAAGAGGTTTGCATTTGACTTTTCAGACCTGTGCCTGAATGAAAGTTCTGCTGATCCAAACAAATGAGAAGCTATGAAAGTTACTAAGGACTACTTAGATGAATACTAAATTACAGGATTTTTTTTAAACACAGCATTTATTTGTGACTGAGTTATATGGTTTGTGACTGATTTATTATTTAAACACTTTCTATCTGACTGGACTTTTCTTGTAAATTCCTTGTACATTTTCAACCTGAAAGGGAGGGAAGGGGAAAATCCTGCAGCACCCCCTTCTGTCCACAACTTGGTCTTGCTTAATCTCAGCTCTCTCTCTTTGATTGTCTTTTAGAGTGACCCTGTCATTACCCGTAACACTCCTAGTACAGGCTGAGTCCTTCTTGGTCTAGTCAGGATTTTATGAGTCCTGATAAAAGAGCTCAGTTGCCCTTGCAGACACAATGGAGCATGCATTGCTGGAGTAACAACACTGGAACGTGCTCCATCTTGTCAGTGGGCTGCCTAACTCAGCATTTTGTTTCCTGACAGTGCCTCCCCCCCTTTCTCTCTCTCTCTCTGGCATTAGAAGAGAGCAGTAGCACCTTAGAGACTCTCTCTTTCTGTCCCCACCCCATTACTCTCTCTTTCTGCCTCCATAACTCTCCCAGGCTCCTGCCTGCTTCCTCCCCTATCCCGCATGGCAGCAGCAGCACCACCTACTCAGCTACCCACCTGCTACCTCCCCCCCCATAGCAGCAATGGCAGCTCTCTGGGAATCAGAACAGACCTCCCAGCTACAACGATCAATACACCTTAGGGCTGCCAGCTCCAGGTTGGGAAATTCCTGGAGATATGGGGGTGAAGCCTTGGGACAGTGAGACTTGGGGAGGCAAGCAGCCTCAGCAGGGTATAATGCCATAGTCTCAACCCCCCCAAAGCAGCCATTTTATCCAGGGAACTGATTTCTGTCACCTGGGCAACAACTGTAATCCTGGGTGATCTCCAGCCCTCATCTGGAGGCTGGCAATGGTAGTTCTCTATTTCATGGAGGGGGGCAGGAGCAGAACTTCAGTGAGTAAGGGGTCCCTTTAAACCTCCCTTCCAATACTGCAGATGGCAAGGACATGCTTCTGGCTGAAGGGAATGCCCTTCTAGAGTTATTGGATTCAAGAAAACGTACATAGGCTGCAGGAGCGACTCTGTATCTGGTAATTGCTGGAGAGAAATAGCCAGGGGAACTGAACTTCTGTCATATCCCCCCCCCCCAGTCATCTATAACACAATCAATGTTATGGCATCTCCATAAATATAACTGCCCCAGACAGCTGATACTTTTGACATAAAATAGTCCAAACATCCAGCCTTGCATGGGGTTGCCAGCTCTGGTTTGGGAAATGCCTGGAGATTTGGGGGTGGAGCCTGGGGAGGTGAGGGACCTCAGTGGGGTACAGAGCCTTAGAGTCTGTCCTCCAAAGCAGCCATTTTCTCCAGATTGAAAGGTCTCCATAGTCTGGAGATCAGCTGTAACTCTGGGAGATCTCCAGGTCCCACCTGAGGGTTGTCAAGGCTACCTTGGGGAGTGACTCATATTCAGGCCCCAAAGCCCCTGTGATCCAGATAGCAGTCTAGAGTCATCTGTTGGCTAATAAGAACTCATTTATTTTGCAGTTTCAGGCGATACAACTATTCTGTTAGGACTCTTGCCTGTAATTAGATGCAAGACAAGACAAGACAAATACCTTTTATTGGCATAAAATATTAAACAGTTGCCATTAGGGTAAAACAATCCTATAAAATTTGTGGAAAATAGATAACTTCTGAAAGCATTACAAAGGTATGTCTATATAAGCTTAAATTATAACAAGATAAAATTTTGCCCAACCGCAAAACCTTGAATTAAATTATACAAACTCATTGAACTCAATTAGAATGATCAGGGACATTTTTCCATTTTATAAGACCATAAAAGAACTTGGCAGTCAATTCAATAATCTTCGAATCTCGAGAAGTAAGGAGATAGTATAGCTTGCTTCCGTCCGGTTGGCATGCCACCTTGCTAAGGGGGACTTCCAGAAATTTCGCTCGAATGTCGTTTAGCAAATTGTAATTAGATGCAGAAATACTAATTTTATGCTGTTGTCGTTTAGTGAAAGTTAGAAGACATCCCTGTGTCATTTGGAAATCCTCATTCTAAGTCAAAGGGCACAAAACACTGTTAAATTTATATTTCAACATTTGTCTTTTTTTAGATCATTAACAGTAGGTTTTACAGTTCCATTCTGAATTATTTTTTTAAGCTGAGAGTGTTGGGTGATAATAAATAAATAGGAAATAAATAAAAAATTGAGGTGTAGAAGGAATAAAAAATACAGGGTATAAAATAAAATGAAGCCCTGTTGCTGAGCCCAGAATGCTGAACAAAATAAGAAAACTAAGAAATGGCATGACCATACTTGGACAGTAGGTGGCACTGCTTGATCACAGGAAACCAGATTAATTGCTTGTGCCAACAACTCAGAAGCGAGGAGGAGGAGGCAATTGCG